CTGTGGGTAGTAGGGCTGTGGGTAGTGGGCTGAGGAATAGGGATTTGGGCCATGGGGTTGGGTAAGGGTGGAATTTGGTGAATAGGAGGAGAGTGGGCTGTGGGTAAAGTGGGCCTGGGGAATTGGGTAGGGTTGATAGGGCCGAGACCCTAACAAACCGGGTTGGGGGGAGGGGAATTGTCCAGTAGTTTGTCCCGATGGTGATTGCCGATGGAGTCCGCCACTGCCACGTCCTCGACCGCGGCCCCTGCCGCGGTTGCGACCGCCACTGCCGCCGCCCGAAGTCCGGCCGTGTCCACTGTAGCTGTGTCCGTCCGCCGTCCGTCTCTGCTGCTGTGCGCCCGCTCCATAGCCGCTGCCACTGCCGGTGCTGAGAAGGGCAGTGGGCGGCGCTCCAGCGCTGTAGAGGGAGTCCTGCTGCTGCTGTTCGACGAGGAGTAAGGCTGGCCGGACCTCCAAGAAGGTGGGGAGGGGATTCTGGTATTGCAAGAATTGAACTTGGCCCCGGATTTCATGGGGTAAACCTTGGAGAACTTGAAGAACGAGAGCATGTTCGGTCACCGGTGCGTCGACATCGTCAAGGTATTCGGAGAGATTTTTGAGTAGACGACAATAGTCGTTCATGGAGCGGTTGCCTTTCACAGTGGTGCGGAAACGATGCTCCAATTGCATCGCCCGTGCGTGCTTGTTGTCGTGGAAGAGGTTGTAGATGGCCGTCCAAAGAGCATGAGCGGTGAGATTGTTGGCAAGGACGAGATCGGAAACTTCATCCGTGATGGTGGACAAGATCCACCCCTGAATGAGGGCATCAAATTGATACCATTCAGCGTCGTCAGCGGAAGAAGCGATGGTGGTGCCGTCGATGAATCCCTTGAGGTTGAATCGGAGAATCAAGAGTTGAAACAATCGACTCCATTTTTTATAATTTGGTTCGGACAGGCTAAGTTGCACGGGGATATGGAGTTTAATATTTGATATGGTTGTGAAGGCTAGATGAGGGGAATTGTTGGAAGAAGAGTTGTCGGAGTTCGAGACAACCTTGCCGGAAGATGAAGAAGAAGCAGCCATGGCTATGAGAAGAGAAGGGATCGGCGGCTATGAAGGAGAAGCACTGCCGATCGTAAGATTGGGGAGAGACGGAAGCCAAAGTTAGGGCTCCGATACCATGTAGAATGATTAATTTCCAATGAATTATTATGGGAGATTACATGTGTGATGTGTATATATACAAAGATTTCCTAATCACATTAGGAAACAATAATAAATACATCCTATACAAATATGGTAGCTACCAATATACATGAATATTAAATATAGTAAGAATATCTTTAACACTATGAATGGTTTCGATTTTGGGTTTCGATTCTGGACAATTCACGTGATATTTTTTAAATTATTTGGCTAAAATGTTAGG